AGATCGGTAGAGAGAGATGACTGGAACAAAGAATAGCAACAGAGTAAAGAACAAGATAGCTTTTATGTTTTTCAAATAAGCAAATACTGAAAGATTATTTAAATGACTGTAGTATAGTGCTTACAGTAGCACAGTATGATCTGTTTTAAAACTTCCATGTATAGACATTTCAGTTTTACTTAAGACATTTAAAATATTTACTGGGTATTCTTTTATTCATCTGCCTATAAAGATCAAAGTCTTAATCAGTGCAAGTGCAAATGTAAAAAGACTGACATTAAAAGATGTTAAAAGACTTAACCATTTAACATCTTAGAAAATGAGGCCACTCTGTGGGCCTAAAAGACCGTCAAGTATAAATGCATTAAAATAACTATATAGGGTCAGCCATGATCTCCACCCAGTTCTGAATCACATCTTTGGCAATAATCAAGCCTAGATGTCTCACAAAAAAACCTTAAATGGCAGACACAGGATCACATYCTTCTTATGAAGTCTTGAAGTCTTATTAAGTGAGGACTTTCTTAAGCCATTTTATATCCTCTTCCTCTTTTTTTCTTTTCTAAATGGTCTTTCCAGGTTATAGCATTTCCTGTATTTTTTAGAAGACTAAAGAAGAATGATATAATGATTGAAGAAGGAAAAAAAAAGAAGATGAAGTGAGATGTTAAAAAAGGCAGCTAGGCAGCTACAAGAGAATCATAAAAAATTGGAGGATTTAAAGAGATTCCTAAATTGGAGGCTATGCCATGTAGGAGGGTCACTGGGAGCTGGACAGAAAATCAGACATCCTGGAAAGCGGGCTTTGAAAATTTGAGAATCTCTACAGTAGAAGCCAAATAAACCTGTTTATTTAGATGTTTAATAAAGGCACATGATCTCACATAAACTTCACACCCACTGTTCCCCAAATAAAAATTTTGTCCTGGGTATATATGTGCACATATATATGAAAACATATMAGCATATTCATCCTTAAAAATGCATTGTGCATTCACACACTGAACATTTAAGAGAAACACAATTTGAGCTCATCAGAAAACCAGACCAAAATACATAGTTCCTCAGCYACAAATAAAAGATTTTTATTTGCAGTTAAAAAAATGAAAATTTTAAATTTAAAATAAAAAATCTAAAGACAACTCTAACTTCCTTGAAAGCCTTCTGTAGGCTGTGTGTACAGGTAATTCTCACTTGGTCCTAAACAAGACCTTYAAGTTCACATTCTAAGGACTGGGTTTGGCAATGAACAGAACTGGCAGTCAGGCTAATAATCTGGTCTACACTAATAACTGATGTGATGAAGGGAAAACTGCTGAAAAAATGTTACAGAAGTCTTAGTATATCACAGAGTATCAGATGACTGATCAGATGTTGCCCTATATTTCTTACTGTCCTACATAGATGACATTTTAAGCTAGCTGCAGCTGTTGAAAGGAAAGACAAAAACCCCTACATTCTCAACAAAGCATTTTCTCACATATTTTGGACAAAATCCTTAGCCCGAATAGTTTAAGATATTATTAGTATTTTCAAGAATGATAGAACAAATTTCCCTACTTAAAAGTAAATGTAACTTGGTGAATACCAAGCACTTGAGATACATTATGGGGTATACATATTATGACAGTAAGTTGATTTCATTTAACACTTTTCATAAAATATGTACTTTGCTATATAAGCTATACCTAGCTACATAAGAATTGTTTTGCCAGGTAAATATTCTAAAACACAGGAAGAGATGCATACATTATTTTTCTGTAATATTTTGCAAGATTATTACGCCAACTAATTATTGTGCTTCTTCATGCCTCAACTTAATAAAAMGCAGTCAAACAAATTTTATGAGAAATCAAACAATGTTTTGATTTCTCTGAATAATGCATGTCCTGAAACTCAAATGAAGTAGTGATGTATTTTTAATTGCACAATTCAAATCATTTTTCATGCTTAGTTCTAATCCTTTTCAGGATTAGTTCTAAAACTGCTTGTCTCCTGAAGAAACATTTCAGCAGAACTGTTACATGATACCATAATTCTGCAGACAATGACTTCTTTGTCATGTTGTCCTGTTTCTTGTCCTCCTTCCTATGTTTACTGAACACAGTGGCCTTTATGAAATTATTTACCAAAAAAGTTATCCTTCTCTTTAGTAAACTTCAAAGCCTTTCCTTTAGAAAATTTTCAGCAGAAAATCCTGTTATACATAAATAAAATTTAACTCCAGAACACAAKGCAACATTTGTGGTATTTGAAATTAAGAACATACTCTGTATTTTGTGCCTGAATTCTATTTAAAACACAAATCGACTGAAAAAGAAGGAAAAGCCTACTAGATRTATTATTAGTTCTTTTTCTAATTTAACAGTCCTGATGATAGACAGAAACTCAGCCTTGAAGAACTGGGTAAGATTCATAAAGAAATACTTAGTTATGAAGAGGAACACTTTTTTGTGTGGTATATATATCCTTTTATGGAAAATTCTATTTGCATGAAAATGTTAGCAGGAAGTATCCCATCAAAAAGTCTAGAYGAGTCAGAATTCTTCTGACCAGATTAAACTTCTCACCTCTTCAGGTTCAACTTCAGAATCAACTTTGAGACTTCTTGACCACATAGAAAGGTGTCAAAAAACTCGGAACACAAAATATGTTCAGAGTCACTCCAGGCATCTCTAATAAAAAAGCAGATGGTTTCAGAGAGGTCTGTTTGATTTTACGAAGGRTAAATAATGAACCTCGTCAGCAAACTGATGGCACTGGCAACAACCCTCAGCACATTGGGACTGCTTTTTGTTCATACTTCTAGCTGTAGACCTCATGCCTGGAGCTTCTGCAACTTTCATTTCAAACTAGGACTTGGAAAACTGTTCCCAGTGCTGTGTCTCAGAGTCAACATCACCTAGGACTAACTAAGTGAAACAGTTACTGAATTTACTACTGAATGAATGGACTCTAGCTTGCCTTGCCATGCTTGCTTTGCACTGAAAACATGAGTGACTTGGGTGCATGTCCTCCCGCTGTGTTCCTCAGCACAGACATATCACTTCAGGATGGTCAATGATCATTTCATGCAGGGTCTTGCAGACATCAGGGCACATGTTTCCTTTCTGAAGCAATACACGGTGGCATTTCAAGAACATATTTTGGGCACTTCCTTATGCAGTTGTTTTTATTTTGATGGTAAAACTTTGCATACTCTTAAAACAGTTCTTCGCCACTTCAAGACATGTCTCAAAACCTCTTCTGTATGTGTAACTAGTTGCCTAGAATGTAGTGGTTAGTCTTAGAGAAGATATCTTACTGACAATTGCAAACATTTAAAAAAAATCATGCACAGTTTTGTAGTTTGATTTTTTTTTTGATTTTTTTTTGATGATTTCTCTAATTATGTTTGTATCTCACAGCTCTTTAGGTAGCAATGTCTCAAGAACAGAGAGACATACTCTTTATTCTGCCTTAATAAAGTATTCATGTAGTAAGTGACCTACTCTTAATTAAGTGCCATGGCAATGCCAAAATACAAAAGAAATAAAAATCAGTAAGTGAGTATGAAGACTCTAGGGAATGCTGCTCCTGTTTGACTGCATAAGAAATAGCTTTATGAACACTGGTAGCTGTGAAATAGTTTCCAGGGGTTCTCAACTGTTACATTTTTTAAGCATCTAATAATGTGATTAAGCTAATGGTACAAAATAGTCCTTGATGGAGGCATTAACATGAGGTTAATGTATAATAATAACCCCATGTTAATGGCTCCTCTGCCCCTTTTTTGTAGAAAACAAAACAAAAAAAGATTTGTAGAAATTTCTTAGAGCTTTTTGGCTCTCTATTATATTTACTGAAATTGAACAAAAGGTTCAAAAGTTGCTAGTTGGTTCCCAGCCGACAAAGAGACATARGAGGATTTCCTTAGGAAGTGAGGCTAATCAGATTGTTTAAAAATATCCAAAATGAATTATGTCTTATTTTAATTTCCATATATACATAAATAGTTATGTATATAATGTTTACAAAACTGAGACTTATCACCTTCTATTTTTTTTTAGCTTATTTTATTTTATATAACTAGATTCAATTTCCCTTCAAAGTTACTTTGCTTCAGATTGCCAACTTGGCAATTTTCTATTTGAACTAATCCTTTAAAATTACATTTTAGGCTTTTCATATTTATTTTTCCTATATAAATACTTAAAACATTAAAATACAATTTCARTATATATTTCCACTGCTCATTTTAGTTTCACTGTAAAAGTTTCACAGGCACAATTTATTTTAGGCTAGAACAGCTGACTTTCCAGCCATAAAGTGCTAATATACACTTCAATATATGTTGACTTTCAGTATTTTGGATATAAGATTCTTTTTTAGGATAGAGGTTAGTCATAAGAATATTTAACAAATATGGAAAAATTACTTGACTTCATGTGTATTTCTATCAATATTTGTGGTGTAACAAATACTGCTCTTGTAAATTTTTGTTACTACCTTTTTTACCTATTAGACAGCATTGCCAAATGTTTCAGATTGTTTTAATTAAATTAAAGGAGTACAGCAACACTTCCTTTCAGCCTGCATTGACATTAGTTAGCCAAAGTACACACATTTCATATTGCCAGATTTCCAACTTAAATAATTTCATCCAGCCTCGCAACTGTATTTGTCTCATTCCTTGACTTTCCATCAAAATTCTAAAATATTTCTGATTTTTTTTCCAGAACTAAATTCTGCTTTTATATTATGAACACAATAAAGATAAAAAAAAGTTAACTTCTTCATTAATGATGCAATCTGAGTGTTAAATAATACCATTTATCCCTATTGTCCCAGTTCTCCATTTCTTAGTAACATCTTTGAAACAGTCCTGTATATCTTATTTTTCTCCACTGCTATATTATCAAAATATATTAACGTATGTTAGCCTGGTTCTCTCCCTTTTCTTTTTTTTTTCTTTTGGATAAAGGCAAGTAGATGAGAATGGGATTGTGACTGTGACTTACCAAGAGTTCGGAAAGGTCTTTGGTTCGGAGTATGGGAGAAGAAACCAGGTTTCAAAGCATTTGTGATCACAATATCAAAAAAATCTTCAAAATCATGCCTAGGAAGTAAAGGAAATTAAATGAGCTAAAGTAATTAATTAGCTACTCTGGCCCCTTAAGACTTAAGGATCATATAAATAGCAAAGTGACAAAATACTTTTTATGGCATTTTTGTCACTTTTTTTTTCCTGATAGTTCAGTGTCACTAGTGCTGTTCTTTTACTGAAGAACAGTCTTTTTACTTTCTTGTAGTACAYGAAAAGACTCTGGATTGACAACCCCAATATTGTACCCTTGAGAATCTCTCTTTTAGTTTTCTGAAAAAAAAAGATGGCCTTTGGACCAGAGAGTTTTTCTTTAATCTTAGGATAACACATAACATGTGACATTTTAATCTCTGGGGACAGCGCATGTATAGACAGATGGGGAAGTACCTAGAATAGAAAACATACTGAGCAGTGAAAACACACTGGTGTTGAGTGGTTTATACTGAAGGCAAATCCATCTCAAATTTCTGTGCTCAGGCTTATAAGAAAGGTCTAAATTAGGAGGTTWCCTATGGAGTAGGAATATAGGAGCTCAAGTGAATTGCTTACAAAGGTAGTTCAACTCACTTGGGTAGGTTAAACATAAAGCTCACAAATAGACACTTCTGAGGAGTCTTCATCTGCTAGTTGCATCCTACCACTAAATTCAGATTTTTCAAAGGTCATTAGGATCATGATAACACAGACTGATACCTAAAGTGTGGAAATCCAATTGACTTAAATAGTCTTCTAACCATGGCTTATAAGTAGGACTCAGGCTGTTAAAATTTAGGTATTTAAAAAACAGAAACATATATGTAAGCCAGTAAGTAAAACCAGCAGGAAAAATAGTCAGCCTTGCAAGACATACATGTCACTTATCCTATCATGAGATTAATTACTCCTAGAAGAGATGGTTATTCCTACTCTAGCAAGACTCCTTACTTTAAGGAATCTTTTTGACCTCACTTATCATAACATCCTGCTCGGACCTATAGCAAGAAATAGTAATAACAATGCCTATTTACAAATTTTAGAAGTTATTTAAATTACAAGTAATTACTAGTAATTAAAATTTGACAACTATGGCTTAAAGAGTGATTATTGTTTATTTTTGGAAAATATAAACATTTCATATGTGAAATATTTCATTTTAGTAGAAATGTCTAATTGCTTGTGTGACTATATTGACTGTAATACATGAAAAACAATAGATCAATAGATACTCAGCATGGAACRAAGAAGTTATTGATACAAAGTACAGGATGATTACAGGCACTAAAATGCTRCCAATAGTTTAAAAAAGTTTACTTCAAAAAAACTAGCTAAATGTATCACTTTCAAATATTGTAAAGTTTTCACCCTAAAGTAAATATTTGTATAGAGATTTCACATCTTTAATACATTTTCTTACAAAATGCCCATTGATCCATCCTGAAGTTGAGCAAACAGATGTGCTGACGTGCTTCTTCATGCTTGGATGACAGATATCAATAGAGACATGTTTTCATGTTAACATACCGTGCAAACAATGTTTCAGCAGGTAAGTTTAGCTTGAACTTTCAAAACAAAGCCATCATTTTAGCAGCACAACAAAGACTTGTGGAAACAGTGATCAGTGCTTTGTGTACCGACATCAAAAGGAATGAATGTGGCCTTTCAGGAAGATTTGCTTAACAGGAACATGAACTTGAAGAGGCAGTACTTTGTGTGAAAAAAAAATGTCACCTATAGCCTTTTTTGAGTCTGGCTAAGTTTTTTATACAAGGCTACCTATTTTATGAGAACATATAATTGATGTTACATTACTGTGCAATATTATGCATAGCAAAATTGGTTCCAGTTACCATTTATGCTTGGCRTTGTGGTTTGTGGTTGCAGTAAGGGGCCAACACAGACAGTAGGATACACCTCACAAAGCTTTRGCCATCTAAAATCTGCATGCTCAAACTCAGTGAATGAGCTACACTGAACATATAGCCAATGGAGAAACATATACAACTCTCAGAGGGCAATCCATCTCTTTTATTTCAGACTCTATTTTATAATGTGGAATGAATTGTCAAGGTTGATACGTAAATTTTTCTCCACAGAACACAGAAGGAATCAAAATTGTAATCTTGGATAAACCACTAGCTTTTAAATAACTAACACTCATGAAAAAGTGAAATCAGGCTCAATTTTAATGACTATATGCTTGTCTTTAGATGTGATCCTGCSAAAACTCACCCATTCAATTAACCTGACACATATTCCCACAGTATGTAAGCCTGCACGGTCACACCATGATAATGCTACTTGTGTGAATGAATTCATAACTGCTTTAATAGTTTACAAGACTTTATACACAGATCCCAGCCAATGTGTGTGTGGTTTAGCTTAGAAATGGTTGTCATTTTAGTTCAAAACAAGATTTTCTCTGACACTTCTCTCCTTACAAAAATGACTGTCAATTAAAGTCAACTTGGTTATATGAAAGTAACTGGAATACTTTGCTCTTTAAGGATAAAATGATGTGTTTAAGGATTAAATGATGTGGGTATGCATTACCCAGCAGGGATTTTATGTGGCAAGTAATTTCCGTATCCAAAGAGGAACTTTTTAATAAACTGCAAAAAAGTTAATAGTTCCAAGATAATGATACGAAGAAGCTAAAATTTCATACACATCTATGCTCTTCATTCTTGGCTCTTTATTCTTTATATATATATTTTTATTCTTTATTCTTGGTTTTGTTGGAGGTAACACCTGTAATTTGTACCGTTCTGAGGTAACACCTATAATAGCAGATACAGTTCTGAAAATATCATATTGATTAACTSGAAAGATGTTAGAAAAGAGATAGAATAAAGGAGTACATAGAAATGAATCATAAGTGTTGATACCAAGAATAAAATTCAGTTAGCCTGGACAAATTAAAGTTAGGGAACAGATGGTGGATGCCAACCTAGATTACATTTCAGCAGTGCAAAAAGTAGTAAGGGAATGTAGAGTCATATTACATTATGCAGGAGATCCGAAACAAACAAGAGCAATAAAAATTTTGAATGAATTTTGTGAAGAAAACTACTTCAATAATGGCTAATGGACAGTGCAATACTCARTCCTCCAGATGTCTTGGAGGTCATACCGCATGCATGAGTCACTGGAAAATATGATCAAAATAAACACTGTATAATGTCCTACACTAAAGAAAGAGACAAAATGGTCCCCCTTCTTTTTGTCTTGAAAGGCAATGCTCTCTGCTACCTTTATTACTGACTTCTTATATGACCACTATGGATGCCTATAACTGTTTGAACTTTATACACAAAAGAAATCCAAAACCATTCTACAGGAATGATATAGCTTAATTCTCAACTTTCATTCATATATAGCCATACAGATCTATGAACAAACAAACAAAACCAATAATTCACMGACATATCAGGACACTAAGCTGCAGAACTGCCTTTTTGCAAGGAGATAGATTTTCACCTCAAATAAGTGAGTGTAAGGCAGTGAGAATAGGCACAGCTGATGCTCTGATTCCAGTTAGCCCAGAGAGTACAAAGGGAGATGAAGCGGCTAGATTGCTTTCGAAGGGCAGTTCTGTTTTTCAATTTACCTGTAGTTTTCCTACTGTGATGCTGTATTCACTCGCTGTTCCCTTGCAAATCCACAGTGCCTGGCTCATATTGCACTACTTTGTTTCTTTGATCCATTTAATGAATAAASTCTGTCTCACCATGTCACCCACCTGGCTGTTTGCATCACTGAGTAATTCATCTCTAAGGGTGTCAGTAATGGGTATTCTGCATTTCACTGAGTTTGGCTTGACCTGTCATGTTCTTAAAATTACAGCTGAAAAATAGCTGTTGTCCTGACCAGCTGCAAGTCTCAACGAATTACTAAGTGCAATGAACTACTTGTTTTTTTCTTTTCTGCTGTGATGTGTAAATGCACATTTCTCATTCACAACTACCTCTTAGAAGSTGTGCTTAGAAGGAAGAGGTATTTATGAGCTTTTCTGTGCAGATTTACTGCAAGGAAATGAAATACTACTATTTATATTTATGGCTGGAGAAGCATAGACAGGAAGTGACTTGAATAGGACAGTGTAGCAAAAACTTATAATAAATTTGGGATTCAGATAATGGCCTGAAAAATATTCCTTGTCATCTTCAAATCCATCACAATGCCCTTAAACTGCAGGACATAACTGTGCTATGGGTCAGCTGTAGATCCCTGGCTTCCAGGGGACTGCCTTGTCTTGAGTACTCTACAGTACTCTAACCAGAGAGAAGACCACCAGRAACCTCAGACCCAAACAAGCTATTAAACATGAGGAAGATGAAAGCAACCTCCTTACAGTTATGGCTTATCTCAAATTGCTCTATTTGCTGGCAGATATAATTTGAAATGAACATTGCACTTACCCAATGATATGCTCACACAGGAGCCTGCAATAGTCACTGTGAGAACTGGTGATTAGTAGCAGGATCTTCCCGGCATTCTTCAGTTGTTTTAGCCATTTCTTTACTGACTCGGGACATCTTTGTAAATATTTGTCTGGGTCATTTTTCACTTCTGGGAAATATGTCCCACAGTTTTCTAAAAAATTAAAACATAATTATGTAGCATGTAGTCCTGAAAGTCCACTCACAAACCACTTCTTTAAGTTTAAAAATTTTAGCGGGTTGTAATGCTACATAAAGAAAAGCAATCAAAATAAAAAAGATAAACTACAGAAGGAATTGGTTTTGATATATATTCTCTTTTATTATGAAATATTCATTGTAAGTTTATTTTATGTTCTTTCACTCATAAAAATGAATAACATCTAAATTATAGGTTACAGTCTTGCACAGAAAAYAATGACTTCCTGTCATTATTTTCCTGAGACCTTCACTGAATATTTGGACAGTTAGTTTATGATCTTAAAACAAGTTTAGTTTTCTGAAAAGATCAAGACCTGAAATTCCCAAGATCATCTACTTGGTTTCTTCTGACACTTGGGTTAGTGCTATCTGAGCTATAATATTACTTTGAATATTTTGGCAGCTTCCACAACTTGCGTTTTATCTGTAAAAGGTCAATAAARGAGCATGGCAAAGTTTCAAAGGTATGCAGAATACTAGGAACAGATGTAAAGCAAAAGGTTTCAAAATGCAACATCAATATATACTTTTTATTGTTGAGCACAGCAGTGACAGAAATTTCCAAATACATTTGGAATATAACATTTTAAAAAGTGTATAACAACACTTATCAGGCAGGAAAAATCAACGATCTGTTCATGTTACCAAGAAATAAAGATTTAACTTGGTATAACTCAAACCTGCTTCATCAAAATGACAAATTAATATTAAACTTAGCTTGTTTTATTATTCTATGGCTTAACATTATATATTTTGTCTATGCTTAAACATTCCACAATGAAAAAAGTCAAGCTAGCTAAAGGTCTTAGAAAAAACATACTAATTGCAAAGASAGAAATGATACCGAGTATTTCACTCTCAGTTCTAATATGTTATAGTATAATGAACGTCAACAGAAGATTATTTTTCTTCCAGCAGTTGTTCTATATGCAACTGTCTGTGGTCAGCTTTGCTGAACGATTTAATAAATCCCAGACATTACTTAGCCTTCTGGTATGTGAGTAATGCTATTCTCTAGCTTGAAAGAAAATAAGACTTAAACCACTTGAACTTTAACAACATAATGAAAGAGAGAACATGTATGTTTGAAACAGAAGTATCGAAGTGAGACTGCAAAATGCTGGGTGTTAAACATAACACTGTTTTATAAAAGTTACACATTCAAACATCTATAGATGGAATGAAAAAAATATCCCCACAAATGAAGTTTCTAATTTACTGCAACTAGACAGGAGACAAAATATTCTGCACAGCAACATGATGGATATTTCTTTGCAAAAACTGCAGAATGGACCATTATATATGAGGAAAGCTTCTCAAACAAAATCTCTCAACTTATAGCTACGTAACTAWTCCAGTTCTTCATATATAGTGTTTAGGTCAGGAAGTGTTACAACCTTTAGCAAGGGAATAAGAGGTTGCTCCTATGGCCAGCATCATGAACGCCGCAATGTTTGTCTTGAGAGCTAGCCAAGACCATGTTTTCATTAAAAAAGGCAYATTTACCAAAGAATGTTTCATGTAGTGTTCCCTGATTCTGCTCCACCTTTTCTTTTTGTGGGAATGTTGTTTGGGATGAGCAGCATGATTTTCAGTAGCAGAAAATATGTTTTTTATGGTTTATGGTTTGTATTTTTTTCCAGGATTATCATTGGTCATTATATTTCATAAGCAATGCTGATATTGATAGTTTTTCTTCCTCTTTCTTTCCTTGGAAAAAACACATCATTGCACACGAACAAACAGGGACACAAAACACTGGTTTGGCACCAGTTTTTACAGTTTCAAACAATTACAAGAGGGATTTCAGGTTGAAAGGTTGAAAGACCTGTTTTATATCAACTTTTCTGTTGGATATTTCTTCCCTTAATCCACCCATTTTCAGTGGACCATTCTTTGATCTGTAATCTTTTTAAGGATTATGAGTATATTTAAATATGGTCCTCTTTCTTCATATTCTGTCAAATATCTAGTCTTTCAGTTGCATCTGAAATAAAAGGGTTGACAACTCTGCATTCAGCATATGAACTGAAAAAATAAAGAGACTTGGTTCTCTATCCAGACCCTTAAGCCTAATTCTTAATTGCAGAAAGGCAATGAATCAGTTCTTGACACTGGGATCTGAAATTTGSCTCCGGGCTGTTTGCTGTATCACTCACAGAGACCTTGGAAGGGCCCTCATTAAAGCATGCTGTACTGTAATTAGGCCAGCACAACTCACAACGGTAGAGTTTAAACTTAATTCTTTACATACTATTGCTTCTGGTGAAGACTGTCTGGTCAAATGTAGTTCTTCAATTTCCATTCCTGCTTCTAAAAAATTTCCAGCTGTTTAGAATCCTGTGAATCCTCTGAAATATGGTCTATGCTAACTGCCAATTAACCTCTGTAGGGATTTGTAATCACTTTTTAGATACACTTTAAAAAAAACTAATTGCCTTTGCAGTTCATTAAGTACCCTCCAGAAAATGTATTTATTTTTTAAGCAGTAGATGGAAATATAAGCAATTAAAAGGTGTCCTGAATTACAACATGTTAAAACCCTGCCTGAATTTGATAGAGAGCCTCTTGGGAGATCATGTTGCATTTCAAAGCTGCTTCATGCTGCAGTTTCAAAGCAATATGAAGTCCTCTCTATATGTTATTGGAGTACTATTAGAAGTTTCTTTAGTCTCTAATTTTTGTTTGTTTAATTTGACACAGTCAATTCATCAAGATGTTATTTGCTTCTTCATGCTTTCTTAACCACGTGTGATATAGCTGTGACAGTGTGATAGGAATTACATACAGCTAGAAATAGGTAATCCCCACACAATGAGGAAGGAATAACTCGGAATGAATCAGATGTTGTGGGCAGGGAGAGGTAGAGACAATAATCCAGTCTTTAATCCAATCTCCTTTTCCTAATCCAGTATCATAACTACTTCCTAGCAATCAAGCATCCAATACTCACTGGTAACTATGCATACTTATGTAACTGTGCATCATTCGATGCTCCAGTAAAACACTTCTATATTATTTTTTCTAGGAAAGAAAAGTAACTGTTGATTCCTCTTGGGGTTGCTTTTTCAGGGTCAGCCTACACCCCACTAGCTCCAGTCTCCCCTGGACTCCTTGTCAGTAAAACCGGACTGCAGGGACAGTGCACTTTTCATCTCTTAGCTAATATTTGGATTTTAAAAAAGACAAATGCTCAAGAGGTATGTTTTTGGCAAGGTGACTCCAGAACTAGAATATGAAAATATACTGTATCTTTCACTATTGTCACTGATCCTTGAGGTGCAGCTACTTGGTTGATTTAAAAGGAATTTATCAACCATTTATATGATTAAGCTGAGCAAGAGGTATAAGGCTAAATGAACCGCTAGAAACCAGCCAAGAAAAATAAACTTTCAGCTGCCAATTTGTAGCTTGTATTTAGTGGCTTTACTAACTAAACATCCCTTACAATGGAAGTACTGTTTGAGAGTGTGATGTTTCTCTCTTCTAATCTCAAAGGCAATTTGATAATTTAGCTATCAAAATCCCTTGCCAGATTCCCTGGGACTCTGACCAAGAAGCTTTACCCCTTTCCCAATACTTGTCCAAGTGCAGCACTGTAGTTGCCGATTGCTTATTTAACAAGAGAGTAAGCAAAAGTTGAATTAAAGTCTTACTTAAATGGTGACACTATAGCTATATTCATCATATATTACTTTGAACAGCAGTACTARAGCATTTCAGGTTTTTAGTAACAATAGAAAGAAACTTGCCATTGATCATTCTTGGCTTCTTCTCTTGTCTAACTAAGCATACTCAGCAAGTAAGATAAGCATTTGACGAAAACACAAGAGAAAAATACCCTGTTTTCAGAAGAACTTACAAAAGAATTTACATTTCATCTAATGAAAGCAATTCAAGAGAAAGGGGTTGACAGTTAAAACAACATTAGATAAATTCTCTATAATTTCCTTTCATTTAAGCTAAAACGCGTATTTGAGGAGGAGCAGGAGAAGAGAAATGAAAGACAGAGGGAAGGAAATGGTAACATAAAACAAGATCAGAAAGTAGAGTGAAGTGTGAAATAGGAATGACTATGCAAAATATAGTTACTTTCTGAAGGTCTGAGTTCAGACAGATATCATGAGCAGCGAATGCCAGGAAGAGATAAATCCTGTCATTCTTCCCCCGGGAGATAAAGACGTTTAAAAACCGAACAAAAGGATGAGAGTGCAAGAAGACAAAAAGATATGAAGGTCATGAATGTCATAAGAGAAAAAAAGATCAGTGACAAAGAAAAATACTGTTTATTTTTATGTTCCCTGAAACTGGCTCAGTTTGTTAGCTTAGACCACGCAGTTTCTCAACAGATCGATAGGTTAAGGATCCTAGTTCAGACAGGAAGAATACTGTCTATTTTCACTTCATAGTTAGCCAGGAATAGATATGAAAAGAGGCTACTGGGTCTGGAGATAAGAGAGATTTTAGGCTTTGGATATCAAATCTCTCTTTCTCACCTGAGAAAAAGGAACTTTTCAAGGAGGACAAAGGGAGAAAAAAAAATGTATGTTTCCATTGGCAAGTAGAGACCACAAATCAAAAATTTCCTTGATAAGCTGCTCCCCATGCCTAGACTGAGCATGGCAGTACGAAGAACCTCTGCGTGCTGAAGTGAAAGATTAGCTTGTGGACCTGGCTATGCAAGTGGCTGCCAATAAAAAACACCTTTCTCCCTGAGGTACAACTAGAGTAGAATGAAGATAATAAAGGGAAAGAAAATGGCACAAAAAAGACAGAAGGAAGGAGCTAAGAAATATGATGAAAAATAGAGCAGTATAAATAAGAATGAGATGTATTCTATTAATAAAATGCATCTGTAAATAACAAACAACATGTATCAATACATCAAATCAAACTCAACAAAAGACTCTTCCTCTGATGCTCTCAGCTAAGGATTATTACGACCACAAAGCA